CATGCATGACTGAACGCCCTTGTCTTGAAAATGGGGCATCCGAACTCATTTGTAACACTTTGGATGCTTTCCAGGAGCCATTGAGAAATTCTAGTAACTCTTATATGCTAAAAGGTTATTACTTCTAGGAAGGAAACCTTTTTTCAAAATTCACCTCGTTTTTCATTGGGACCCATTTTCGTCATTTTCCGTGTTTTTCACCTTACTTAATGCGAATTTTCACACTTTTGTCGAATTCTTCTCAGATCATCGGTGATGCTGTCTGGAAGACTGATACTTTTTTAGTAGCTATCAGTTATTTTTTTCAAGATCAAGAGCTATTTGTCTGAAATGCAGTTAATTTTTCATGCGGATTCAAATTTCCACACTGAGTTTGGCAGCGACCAAAAATGAGATGTCTAGACTTTTAGGCATGGTGCACACTACGTACACAGACCTGAATACGAGTGCGTTTGGGTACGAGTTGGCCTAGCGCACTACACGAATGCGTACGATAACGTCAAATTGCCCGACTAACAGGCACGAAGAAAACCTTTCCGTTTTCATCCATACGGTTTCCTTCTTGCATGATACTTTCTCGTTAGAGTGTTCATGATATTCCTCACTATTCACAAGTAGAGAAATGTCAGGGAAAACTCGGCAAAACTGAAAAAATCCCCCCTAAAATGTTGGCTTCACTTCCAACTTCTGACTCTGTTACTTTGGAGGTGTGGAAGAAAGACGGGCAAAAATTTGACAGAAAAAGGTTTTCCATCGTGTGCAAGACATCAAAAGGGACTTTGTGTGTTGAAATACTAATTGGTATGGAAATGAGGGGCAAACAACTTTTTCTAAACTTAATGTTGAGCGATTACTTTTGGGCTCCACCTGTCCGAGTCAAGAGCCATTTTACAGGCTTGCTACGTGGAATTCAGTACGCATGCGCACAAACTAAGTGTGGGGCATGAACATACGTGCACACAGTGTGTCAGTTCAAAATAATAAATCAGTCCGTGTGACAGCCTCGTCAAACCATACATAAGCTAAAAATGAAGAAATGGCTTCACCGTATGGACTGACAACTTGTTCAGATTTTATCTTTACCAAAATTATAATTGTGAATCAAACATTAAGGATTATTATTAATAGCACATTATACAAAACATTAGCCTCAACTGTGAATGTTAACTTATGGAATTTATCATCCAAAAGCTCGCAAGCCATTGAAAGTGTTTTTTTTTCTCGAAATCTATAATGTTGAAACGAAATGCTTGTTCACCGGATCGTAAAAACATCTGTCTGTCTGTCAGACAGGCAGGCAGGCGGGCAATGCACCATGATGGTTTTGATGGTTTTAAA